GTGTATCATAGTGTGGGGGTGGGGAGGTAGCTGTGTATCATAGTGTGGGGGTGGGGTCAGGAGGTAGCTGTGTATCATAGTGTGGGGGTGGGGAGGTAGCTGTGTATCATAGTGTGGGGGTGGGGTCAGGAGGTAGCTGTATATCATAGTGTGGGGTGGGGTCAGGAGGTAGCTGTGTATCATAGTGTGGGGGTGGGGAGGTAGGTGTGTATCATAGTGTGGGGGTGGGGAGGTAGGTGTGTATCATAGTGTGGGGGTGGGGTCAGGAGGTAGCTGTATATCATAGTGTGGGGTGGGGTCAGGAGGTAGCTGTGTATCATAGTGTGGGGGTGGGGAGGTAGGTGTGTATCATAGTGTGGGGGTGGGGAGGTAGGTGTGTATCATAGTGTGGGGGTGGGGAGGTAGGTGTGTATCATAGTGAGGAGGTGGGGGTGGCTGTGTATCATAGTGTGGGGTGGGGTCAGGAGGTAGCTGTGTATCATAGTGTGGGGTGGGGTCACGAGGTTGCTGTGTATCATAGTGTGGGGGTGGGGTCAGGAGGTAGCTGTGTATCATAGTGTGAGGGTGGGGTTAGGAGGTAGCTGTGTATCATAGTGTGAGGGTGGGGTTAGGAGGTAGCTGTGTATCATAGTGTGGGGTGGGGTTAGGAGGTAGCTGTGTATCATAGTGTGGGGGTGGGGTTAGGAGGTAGGTGTGTATAATAGTGTGGGGGTGGGGTCACGAGGTAGCTGTGTATCATAGTGTGAGGGTGGGGTTAGGAGGTAGGTGTGTATAATAGTGTGGGGGTGGGGTCACGAGGTTGCTGTGTATCATAGTGTGGGGGTGGGGAGGTAGCTGTGTATCATAGTGTGGGGGTGGGGTCAGGAGGTAGCTGTGTATCATAGTGTGGGGGTGGGGGGCAGGAAAGTAGCTGTGTATCATAGTGTGGGGGTGGGGAGGTAGCTGTGTATCATAGTGTGGGGTGGGGTCAGGAGGTAGCTGTGTATCATAGTGTGGGGGTGGGGAGGTAGGTGTGTATCATAGTGTGGGGGTGGGGAGGTAGCTGTGTATCATAGTGTGGGGGTGGGGTCATGAGGTAGCTGTGTATCATAGTGTGGGGGTGGGGTCATGAGGTAGCTGTGTATCATAGTGTGGGGGTGGGGTCATGAGGTAGCTGTGTATCATAGTGTGGGGGTGGGGTCAGGAGGTAGCTGTGTATCATAGTGTGGGGTGGGGGGGGGTCAGGAGGTAGCTGTGTATCATAGTGTGGGGGTGGGGTCAGGAGGTAGCTGTGTATCATAGTGTGGGGGTGGGGTCATGAGGTAGCTGTATATCATAGTGTGGGGGTGGGGTCATGAGGTAGCTGTGTATCATAGTGTGGGGGTGGGGTCAGGAGGTAGCTGTGTATCATAGTGTGGGGTGGGGGGCAGGAAAGTAGCTGTGTATCATAGTGTGGGGGTGGGGGGCAGGAAAGTAGCTGTGTATCATAGTGTGGGGGTGGGGAGGTAGCTGTGTATCATAGTATGGGGGTGGGGTCAGGAGGTAGCTGTGTATCATAGTGTGGGGTGGGGGGCAGGAGGTAGCTGTGTATCATAGTGTGGGGGTGGGGTCAGGAGGTAGGTGTGTATCATAGTGTGAGGGTCGGGTTAGGAGGTAGCTGTGTATCATAGTGTGGGGTGGGGGGCAGGAGGTAGCTGTGTATCATAGTGTGGGGTGGGGGTCAGGAGGTAGCTGTGTATCATAGTGTGGGGGTGGGGTCAGGAGGTAGGTGTGTATCATAGTGTGGGGGTGGGGGGCAGGAAAGTAGCTGTGTATCATAGTGTGAGGGTCGGGTTAGGAGGTAGCTGTGTATCATAGTGTGGGGTGGGGTCAGGAGGTAGCTGTGTATCATAGTGTGGGGTGGGGTCAGGAGGTAGCTGTGTATCATAGTGTGGGGGTGGGGGGCAGGAAAGTAGCTGTGTATCATAGTGTGGGGGTGGGGTCAGGAGGTAGGTGTGTATCATAGTGTGGGGGTGGGGGGCAGGAAAGTAGCTGTGTATCATAGTGTGGGGGTGGGGTCAGGAGGTAGGTGTGTATCATAGTGTGGGGGTGGGGGGCAGGAAAGTAGCTGTGTATCATAGTGTGGGGGTGGGGTCAGGAGGTAGGTGTGTATCATAGTGTGGGGGTGGGGGGCAGGAAAGTAGCTGTGTATCATAGTGTGGGGGTGGGGTCAGGAGGTATGTTGTGTATCATAGTGTGGGGGTGGGGGGCAGGAAAGTAGCTGTGTATCATAGTATGGGGGGGGGGAAGGCCCAGGAGATCGAGATGCGGCCAGAAATTAACACGGCCACACTTGGGATTGTTAGGGTGGTATCACCAACTGTAGGCTAAAAGAAGAATATTATGCCACGTTTGTTGTGGATCTAGCAAAAATGTTAAAGTTAGGTAACACAGTTGCTAACCCTATACATTCACGTACATTCTTAACCCAATGTGAAACAGGAAGAAAAATTATTTGACAATCAAGTGCCTACCGACCCCAGTATTCTACCACGTATACTGTTACACAATTATTCATTCAATCCAGCAGTTGCTTCAGTTAAGTATAGGGAGGTGCTGTATGAGTGGGTGTGTGAAGGTATTCACTGTAAACCCCTTTCCACACAGCACTTTAAAAATAAATAAAAAATCAATACCTCATTGTTCTTAAATTCAGTTGGAAACACTGATGTGGTCAAAATATCCAATTTTAAAATTATAACGTACAATGGATAACAAATATCTAGCCCCCCTTCCCCCTACACATGGGTCACCAAAATGACAGCTATTTTACATATAGCTACAGCTAGTTACAACAGCGAGCTAGTGCCGTTGTTAATACTCTCGATGTCAACGTTTTGAATTTCGGATACCACTTACCTACCACTAATAATATATCTATAAACACGGATGAGGAAGTCCAAACAGGATATATATATATATATACATATATATATATATATACATATATATATATATATATATATATATATATATATATATATATATATATATATATATATATATATATATATATGTATATATATGGATGTGTGAGTCCCCAACTACTTATATTTACTTACATCCTGATGTAATATATCAGTGCGGCGAGTGTGTGGTCGGTTGAGGAAGAGGTGGGATAACGTTAAATCTTTGATAACGCAAGATTCAATATCTGCTGAAAGAGAACGATTGTTGCTGAACTGTAGGTCACTGCGACTTTACGAGTTGTAAAACGAGTTCAGGGGAGTGTGTGTTCTCGTGCTAGGGGTGTCTGTACACAATCACACACCGGTTAGGTGTATTCAATATAGGTTTATAAAGATGAAACTTTAGTGTGTTGAGAGGGGGAAAATAGCTATAAATAAAACTTCACACACAGTCAAGTTAATTAAACGAAAGTAAAAGTATTAGATCCATACGTTTTACAAACAAAATGAGAGTAGGTTTAAGAATACTAGAGCTTTGTACAGACATCTGGTTGGCGAGGGGTGGGGGGGGGGGATAAGGCACTGCACCGAAATATCATTAATCTACAAAATGTATTTTTAAAAATGTCAGAAAGAAACATCAGGGGACTAAGGATGGTCCATTAAATGACATCTCACACCTAAGAGTGGTGGTGGGTGGGGGGGGGGGGGGTCTGACCTTCGTGACAATCTATGACGCGTGTAAGGGGTCAAAATGTTTTGCAAAACATATTTACATTGTAAAAAGAAATATTTTTTTTAAATGTATCAGTTTTAAGCAACCTCTCGGTATTTTATAACTTTTAATTAGTTGAAACATTGTTTCGACAGATAATTTTAGGTTTTTCTTTTTTAATTTGGTGTCACCAAGCGCGAACCGCCCCCCCCCCCCCCACTCCCTCCCCGCAACGCCAAAGTTTATAGCAAACATTACATTGTAAAGCAGTAACGTAATACATTTTTTTAAAGGAACACAGTTTAAATGTAGACCCTGGGGTACAATACTCTAAGATTAATCATGTAATAAGTCTAAGACTAATTATATCACTAGGCAAAAGGGTCTAAATATTATCCTAAATATTAAACTGTAGGGCTTTTGTGTCCATTCAATATTGCCTTCTACTCAGTTACCTAACGACTGCTACAACTGTTTTAAATCTCTTCATTACCTACATTACTACTACAACTCTCTTCATTACCTACATTACTACTACAACTCTCTTCATTACCTACATTACTACTACAACTCTTTTAAATCTCTTCATTGCCTACATTTTTACTACTACAACTCTTTTAAATCTCTTCATTACCTACATTACTACTACAACTCTCTTCATTACCTACATTACTACTACAACTCTTTTAAATCTCTTCATTACCTACATTACTACTACAACTCTTTTAAATCTCTTCATTGCCTACATTTTTACTACTACAACTCTTTTAAATCTCTTCATTACCTACATTACTACTACAACTCTCTTCATTACCTACATTACTACTACAACTCTTTTAAATCTCTTAATTACCTACATTACTACTACAACTCGTTTAGTCTGTCAAAATTGTCTTTCAGTAATCGATTGTCATTTAGGCCTGATAATTGGGAATTACATAAAAAATTCAAGCGAATGTAGATCTATAGACCTACATAGAGAGTATATAGGCCTACATAGATTACACAATATAGGCCTACATAGTACATAGACTAGACGATATAGGCCTACATACACTATATATATAGGCCTACATAGACTAGACTATATTGGCCTACATAGACCATACTATATAGGCCTACTATACTAGGTCAATGTGACACTCTGTAATCAGTGTGTGTAGGCTACTGTGTACGTGTAGATCTAGATTAGATCTAGACTAGTACTTAACTTTGTAGATCTAGGCCTAGAGTAGAATTTATAATGAATGGATAGATCTATCTAGATAAAATGCACCTTGGCAGTGGCAACTTTGAACTCAAGTTCGTAAAGGTCAATTAAGGTGTGTTGATTAATTTAAGGTTAAATGTAAACTTACCTTAAAGTGTGGTATTGTTAGTCCCACTAAAAAAAGCTTTCGTCATTGCGAAGAATGTGTGTAGCCAAGGGAGAGAAGCGACTTTTTGTTTAACAGCTGTGTGTTCGCTAAATTCTCAAACCCGAATGTTTTCATTCACAAGCACACAACTCCATTCCAATCTAGGTCATTCGCCAGACTTTTCTAGGTCTAAATATAGCAGCGCGCGTCACTGAATAAAATTCAGAGCTCGCGTGGGTTCCCCCTTTAGATTTGTCCTCGTTTGCACTGTGTTGTTGGCCGGTGTGGGCTGGTTTTCACTTAATGGGGTGATTGTTTGTCTGGCATTTTGCTCTAACTTCTGTCAGACGGACAACACTGTGTTTTTAGCAGACAGATAAACACGTGGGATCTGCTGATAGTGAAATTCTAAATATAAATTGGTGGGGGGGGGGGGGGGGGGGGGGGGCGAACCGGGAAGTTAAGAATTTACATAGGCCTACATTTTGACCTTAGGTTTTGTTGTTTTTTTTACTTTAATTAACAGCTTTTAGCATTTTTAATGTCTATTTTCTCTTCGCAGTTAAAAAAAAAAATATTAAATTTGTTTTGTTTTCTGAGACCATCGAGCATTAGAGATTTTAAAAATAAAGCTAAATGAATGACTTGAAGAAACATAGATCTAGGCAAGCTAAAACTGCAACAGTCCAGGACATTCATTAAATTATGTACCCTACAACATTCTAGTGACTAGCAGATCCAGCATATAAGGAAACTAGGTTAATCTATTAACTTTTCTAATTGGTAAAGAAATATTGGTGTTTATTGGGGTTTTTTTTTTAATAAAAAAACATTAGATGTGGCTAGAATAATTTTATTACATTTTAGACTACACATTGTAAATACTAACAAATCGTTTTATAAAATAGATGCACATTGAGTCTCCCCACACATTCCCTCTCCTCAAATCTAAACTCTCACACATCGCCCCCCCCCCCCTATCAATCCTACACACCCAATATTCACCTTTTATTTCGCACTAGCTGATTTACTTAACGATAACCTCTATCGACAGTTAATTAACTATCAGGTAAAACTGTAACAAACGACAGATTTGACATCTGGGGCCCAGGATGACATTTGTTAATGTCAGGTAAATCCTGTTCGGATTAACACGCTGGCCTTGATTTATAGATCTGGTCCTTAGATTGATTATTTTGTACCTGTGGTTAGTTGCACGTAGGTAAAACTTGTAAAGTGCATTTTGTTTTATAAAGACGTGGGCACGGACAAACACAAAGACGGAACCACATGTACATATACTGAAAGGAACATAAACTGACAGTAGCACACACACACTGACAATAACACACTGACAATAACACACACTTATTGACAGTAACAGACACTTATTGACAATAACAGACACACTGATAGTAAAACACAAACTGAAAGTAACACACACTGACAGTAACACACACTGGTAGTAACACACACGGGCAGTAACACACACGGGCAGTAACACACACTGATAGTAACACACACTGATAGTAACACACACTGACAGTAACACACACGGGCAGTAACACGCACGGGCAGTAACACACACTGAGAGTAACACACACTGAAAGTAACACACACTGAGAATAACACACACTGAAAGTAACACACACTGACAGTAACACACACTGAGAGTAACACACACTCACAGTAACACACACTGATAGTAACACACACTCACAGTAACACACACTGATAGTAACACACACTGACAGTAACACACACGGACAGTAACACACACGGGCAGTAACACACACGGGCAGTAACACACACTTATATTAACACACTGATAGTAACACACACACTGAGAGTAACACACACTGACAGTAGCACACACGGACACAAAAACAAACTGCCAAACACACACACAGACAGACAAAGAAAGAACACGCATGTTTGACACAAAACGTTTATACAAATACACAAGGAAGCAAATACAAAGCAATACATCCACTAATACTAGAAACTAATGACACAAACACACACTGACACAAATGCATAGTGAAAATCACAAAGAAAGACACACACACACACACACACGTTGATACAAACATACAGACGATAACACACTAATAGAAACACACATAAAGTATGCCAGAATCACACAACCACAGACACAGAAATACAACTACATACACACAGGTGTAAATACACACGCGCAGGTATAAATACACACACACACACATCGACAGAAACACACAGACATACACAGACAAAAACGCTGACACAAACTGAACACACACACGTTCAGAAACAAAGCCATTCGTGTTCTACGTTACATACAACATAACATTCAGATAAATGTTAACTTATTAAAACTTATTAGCCAGCTTTTATAGAATTAGAAATGGAAAATTTCTTTCCTTACCTAAACAATAAGAGGGCTTATTAATCATATGTGTTAGTAGTGCAGGTATATCTAAAGAAAGAACAAAATTAGTTTATATTTTAGTAATAGTTAGTCTATATATTTTATTTTAAACCTTTTAGCATCTAGGAATTTAAAAAATACATTTAGGGAGGTTGACACCAATGCAAAAAATAGCAAAATATATCAAGAAACAAATGATAATTCCACTTAACTAAGTGATTTATGCGAGTGTTAAAAAGTCTTTTAAGAGCAAATTTGACAAATCCCGACATGGGTGCACTTGGGGGGGGGGGTCTTTTAACAGATGAGCGGTGATTAAATTTCCAAGAGTGTGGTCTTCTTTGTTGACAGTGAAGATGGCTGCATTGGGGGCTTTAGTGTCTTTCTCTATGTAGTTTTTTTTTCTCCTTCAAACAGAAGAAATGGCTCAAAAGTCGATGGAGCATTCATGATGAATTTTATAACTGCTCACCTTTTTTATTTATTTACAATAAAACAAGTTACAACATATTTTACGGTAACTAGAGAATGCTAGAATAAAAAAATGTCAAACTCCTTCTATCTATGACAGGGGTCGGCAACCTGCGGCTTGCGAGCCGCATGCGGCTCTTGTGATGTCAAGATGCGGCTCTTCAGCTCCATGCACAAATATCAATAATTATTTTATTTTCAAAACTCAAAAAATATTGTTCTGCAACACACGGTAATGAACGATACAATAATAAACATAAATAATAAACACTCGCTATTTTATTAGAATATTTAGTTGCTCCCTATTTCAATGTACTTCCTTGTTTTCTAAAACTGAGTTAGTTAAATGTAAACAATGCCTGTGCTTGGATCATATTCATCGGGGCACAGGTTTACCTACACTACCGCCCAGCACACTACGGAGCGTACTATATGAAAGCCTTGAGTGTAAGTTATTCACTCATCGTAATATCACCACTAATCACTCACCGCCTAAGTGTCAGGGACGGAAAGTGGCGCTCTCGTGAATCCCATTACACTATCTCAGGGGCGCCGCGTACGGCCCTAGCTCGGTTTAATTATCGAATGTCGTGTGCCGCATTATCAATATTGTAGGGTGCTCCTTAAAACTAACATAGGCGCGTAGAGCTTGGGGGATAGCCATAGGTGCCAAATCGCACCCTGCAGAGACTACGGAGGACGCACCTAATTCAATTTAGTGAGCAACTTTAGCAACCAATTTTATCCATAGCCTATCCTGCTGTTTAAAATGAACGTAGGCGCCATGGTGCTCACGGGTCAGCCCTGGGCGCCAAATCACCCCCTGATTCGATTAATTCAACGATTATTGTTGCCTATTGTGCCTTTACTGCATAGCCTTTTTTTTAAACGGACGTAGGCGCCATAGTGCTCGCATGCGAGCCCGGTGCGCTTCGGGTTGAGCAATCGACGAGACGCCGGGGGTTGCGCATGTTGCAGTTTTACCGCTGAATATAGCAGTACCCCTTACCCGCTATGCAGGACGCCCGTTAAGGATGCCAAGTGCTAGCATAGCTGCTCTGGAATTCTGGGCGCAAAACCGTGCATTGACGAAAATCACACCCTCCCGGGCGCCGCCCATAAGAAATCTTTTTTTTTTCGCAGAAATCTTCTCGGGATTATTCTCATCTACTCTCCAGAGTTCCATGGCAAATCGCACCCGACTTTTATTTTTTTTATACCGTATATAGAGAAAAATCGCAGCCTCCCGGGGCGCTGCCCTTACGAAATTACAAAAAAAAGATTTTTTTTTTTTTTTACAAAATCTTTCACTGGAGTGTTCTAATCAACTTCCCAAATTTTGATGGCTATCGGATGAACGGTGTCATTCCGCAATCGACTTTTATTTTTATATGCCATATATAAAGAACAATCGAATCGCGTCATACCGGATCGCCCCCCTCCCCCCCCCCCCCTGGAAATTTGACTCCCCATGAGTATTCTCAACAACTTCCTAAGGTTTCATGGCGATCGGATGAAAGGTGTATATATATACATATATATGTTACGGTCAAAGCCCGAAGTGCGGCCAATGCTAGGATTGGCCGGCCAATCCGCGCATTGGCCGGCTCTCTTGGCCAAAGCCCGAAGAACTTAGCACTAAGATCGTATTTCGTACTTTGGCCGGCCAATGCGAGCACTGGCCGGGACGTACTGGCCAAAGTCCGAAGCGCTTAAACTTGACAGCGTATTTTGTACATTGGCCGGCCAATGCGCGCACTGGCCGGTATGTCCTGGCCAATGTTCTATCTAGACTAAGTTGTGATCGCATTTTCATTATTCTGGGTGCGTTTTCATTGAGAGTAACGTATTGTTTAGCTCTTGTTTATATAGCATTCTATATGCAAGGCGACATGGATCAAAAGGGTCGTCAGATCATGAGACAGACATAGCAGATGGCTGTCAAAAGAAAAAAAATGTAAATCCATGTTAGTTTCCATATATGGGCTCTCGATAAAACAGTTACTGAGGAAGATTTTGAGAACATTGAATAAGAAATGGAGGTTGCCATAAATGCAACTACATCCTCAGCTAACACATCTACTGCCGTGGCGGAACGCCCAGACCAGTTGCGTGACAATAATGTGACCAACAGATTCTATATAGTTTGTGAAAAACATTGTAGTGCAGCTCATTCTTTTGGATCCTGTGGCAACGATGTCCATGCTATTTGTGGAGTACCCAATGAAGCAGACGAAGGGTACGGAGGGAACATTACCTGCAGATTGTGTCACAACAAA